CTCTACAAAAAAATTAAAAATTAGCCCAGTGTGGTGGCACATGCCTGTAGTTCCAGCTACTTGGGAGGACGAGGCAGGAGGATTGCTTGAGCCCAAGAGGTCAAGGCTGCAGTAAGCCATGATCGCACCACTGCACTCTAGCCTGAAAGACTGAGTGAGATCCTATCCCATACATACATACCACATACAAACATAAATAGTATCCCAGTTCCAGAGATGAGGAAACTAAGGGCTAGTGTGATTAAGTAATTCAGCCAAATCACACAGGTAATAGAACCAGCAGTACCTGAATATTGAGAAACACAGTTTAATTTGATAGCCTGTGCTTTTAACCACTATATTATACTGATACTCAAATTATCTCAATGCCATTTTTACTCAATAATTCTTCCTTTAGCCATTGTTATGTGATGCCTCTTTTTACTATTGAAACTCTTTTTACAGTGTCTCAACTTGGACTATTTAGTTTTCTATATTAATTTGTCTTCAAGTAATAATACATGGTTTAAAATACCGTACCATAAAATATATTTTAATATTTGAAGGTTTTAGGATATGTTTTAGCATAATCCTAAAAGGATATCAAGTACTTGAGGAAAAATGCAGTCTTTAAGATATCCTTACCATACACTGGTGTCTTCCCTGGCAGGATGACGATAATAAGCTGTAGGCCAGAATATGTGTTCTTGAGATGCCGGAACATGGGCTCTACGCTGTCTGCCCCCTGTGCATATTTGCAGAAGCATGGCTGGCCCTGGATGGGCATCCCTGCATCCTTAGAAATCTTACGCAGCTGGTCTGTGAAACCCCTAGAAGGAGAAACCACTAAATATAAAACCTTTGTCTAGTCATGAATTCCTACAAAGTAGTAATGGGAAGTTTGGGAAGGGAATGGAAGGATGAAGCAAAGATTTGTGTGCTCCATATATGAGAGGTCACCAGACTACTGATGTCAAAGGCAATGGTCGGTCAGTAATCCATTTTGCAAGCTAAGAACATTCTATACAGTTACATGGCATCCTGTAGTTTACAAGGAGCATTACTAATAGTATACGCTGGTTAAGAGCTCAGCTGTAGAGTTAGTATGGAGAGTTCCATTCCCAGTTCTGCTATGTACTAGCTATAAAATTTTAGGCACTTACTTCAGTTTTCCTCATCTGTAAAAGGATTACTTCAATTACAGGGTTGGTGTGAAGATTAAATGAGATCATACATGTAAAGCACTTAGCACACCACCCAAGACCATGGTAAAAGCTTGATACATTTTTGGTATTGTATATTTTCTAATTTGATCTCACAAGATTCATAAGAAAGAGGCAGGGCAAGTATTATTCCTGTTTTACAGGTCAGAAAACAGTTTCATAGATATGACATATTTGGCCAAAGCTCAAATGATTATGGTAGAGCCAGAATTTCTATAGTATTACCTATCTCACACTAGGATAGCAGAAAAGATTATGCCCTCAGAGGACATTTTTAAAAATATAAAAACAAAATTTAAAAACAGATGAGGCCGGGTGCGGTGCCTCACACCTATAGTCCCAGCAATTTGGGAGGCCGAGGCAGGAGGATGACTTGAGGTCAGGAGTTTGAGACCAGCTTGGCCAACATGGTGAAAACCCATGTCTACTAAAAATACAAAACTAGTCTGGTGTTGTAGCAGGCACCTGTAGTCCCAGCTACTTGGGAGGCTGAGGCAGGACAATCACTTGAATCTGGGAAGTAGAGGTTGCAGTTAGCCAAGATTGTGCCACTGCATTCCAGCCTAGGTGACAGAGCAAGACTCTATCTCGAAACAAACAGATGAGGCAGGCAGCATTTTAATGTACTTTCATTTACACTGAAACCCCCCCAAAACCAATTCTTTATTTTTTTGAGATAGGGTCTCACTGTGTTGCCCAGGCTGGAGTGCAATGATACAATCACAACTCACTGCAGCCTCAACTTCTCAGGCTCAAATGATCCTCCCACCTGAGCTTCCCAAGTAGCTGGGATTATAAGCATGTGCCACCACGCCTGGCTAATTTTTGCATTTTTAGTAGAGATGGGGTTTCACCATGTTGGTCAGGCTGGTCTTGAACTCCTGACCTCAGGCAATCCACCCATCTTGGCCCCCCAAAGTGCTGGGGATTACAGGGATGAGCCCCTGCTCCTGGCCACCAATTTGATATTTATAGAAAATTTTGAATTCAGTATAAATAAGCAATAATGAGCAACAATTGCTTCACTTGTTTTTAAAACAACTGAGGTCCTAAGTCAAGAATCTGAGTGATCTTTGCTCAAAACACTGATTCCTTCAGGACAGAGATGGAGTTTGTAGAAATTCCCTTCTCTTATTCCTTATTGGTGCTTAATTAAAGAAGTACGAAATTGAGTATTTTCACTCAGCCTGAACAAGAGCCACAAACCCATGATTCTGAGACATCTATTCAAGCTGTGAATAACAAATATAAAGTGAAAAAAAAAAGTTCAAGTTTGAAAAACATTGGAATTTTTTTTTTTTTTTTTTTGCCTTTCAAGGTCAAATAATCATAGCATTGTAATAAGCCATCTTGTGACATTTCACTTGAAAGCAGGGGGATAAAAACTCTGGAGGAAAAAAATATATTACGTGATCATTAAAGCATCCATTTAGAGATTTGGGATTAACAAAAAGGGATGAACAGAATTAAATAGAAAAAAATTTTATTTCTCACATTCTAATTTCTTCTTGCCATGAAGAAGGCAAGGCAAATTCTGAAATGGCCTGAGGTAAACTGGTCTCTGTATCACTCAAGAACGTTTCGTTATTGGCATACTTTATATAAGTAGAGGTTTAAATTAGACAAGGATCATTTCTTCAAGAAAATTAGATTCCAGAGGTGATACATTTATAAAATCATTATAATACAATTGTATTTTGCACAAAAACTGACAAACGGAGAGGATACTGACGGGTAGAGAGAGGAAGGAGGCATTCTCAGTAAAGGGCTGCATGAGTGGAAACAGGAAAAAAAGGCCAGGGAGATAGAAGGAATATAGTGCTTCAATTTCTTTGTCCAGAATATGTGAAAATGGAGTAATGATAAAGGACTTAGGAGACTGGTGAAAGATATTAAATGTCATACTGATTTTACGCTTGAACCCAGGAGGTGGAGGTTGCAGTGAGCTGAGATCATGCCACTGCACTCCAGCCTGGGTGAGAGAGTGAGACTCTGTCTCAATAAAATAAATAAATAAATGTCATACTGATTTTGAATGTTACTCTTAGTCAAAGAGAAGCCTAAATGTTTCAGAGTAGGTTTAGTCACAAGTGGAGTTGGTGTTCTTTCATGACAGCCAAATTTCTCAAACAAGGGTGACAGGAGAAGCCCTGAGACTGTGTGAGAATCCCAAAGGAGAGGAGATAGCTAATGAAAAGGAAAAGAAGTCAGAAAATGTAAACTAAAGAACCAGAAGGTAAGAGAGGAGGATGTCAAGAAGGTTGGCAGGGTGCGGTGGCTCACGCCTGTAATCCCAGCACTTTGGGAGGCCAAGGCAGGAGGACTGCTTGAGTCCAGGAGTTCGAGACCAGTCTAGGCAACATAGTGAGATCCTATGTATACAAAAAAACAAAATCAGCTGGGCATGGTGGCGTATGCCTGTAGTCCCAGATGCTTAGGAAGCTCAGGTGGGAGGATCGTTTGAGCCTGGGAAGTTAAGGCTGCAGTGAGTTGTGACTGTATCACTGCACTCCAGCCTGGTCAACAGAGTGAGACCCCATCTCAAAAAAAAAAAAAAAGGGGGGGGTGGGGTCAAATTTTGAGAAAAATAATGGCTAAGAAGAGACCATTGGAACTGATAAGCATAAAGATACAGGAAATCTTCCAGGAACCAGTTTTAGCAGAGCACTGATTCAAGGGAGGAGCAAAAATGGAGGTCTGGAAGCCTAAGAGATTAAGTTAGGTAATATGAAAATTGCTGATTAAAAAAAATTGAACAGAAGATTTTTGAGCACTTTGAAGCTGAAGGACAGAATCTGAAGAAGACAGAAAAAGTGGTGGAGATGAAAGCCACATTTTGGAAAGTAAGGAAACAGAAACAAGGAGTTTAACCACTCCTTCAAGATCCTCAACAGAAAAATAAGGATCTTAGTTAATCCTCACCTGGTAGGTAGTGTCACATTAAATTTCACCTAAAGCTGTCTCGTTACATTTTTAAAGTTTGGCCTAAAGATTTCTCTGTACATAGTGAATGGTCATCTGCATGTGTAAACAAGCTGTAACCTATTCTTGCACCAATTGCTGAGTTTTAGCCAATCAAAGGCAACCAACTGTTCAAATCATGTTCAAATAAGGCAAATATCAAGATGTAAGCAATCCAGCTGTTTCTGTACCTCACTTTCATTTTCTGTACATCACTTTCCTTTTTCTGTCCATAAGTCTTCAACCATATGGTGGTGCCAGAGTCTCTTTGAACCTATTCTGGTTCTAAGGGCTGCCTGATTTGTGAATCATTGTTTCCTCAATTAAACTCTGTTAAATTTAATTTGTCTAGTTTTTCTTTTAACAGATGGTATCAGAAGTGGGATCCGAAGTAGAATTTCTAGCAATCCCCAGAAGCACTGAGTGACAAAGCATGGTACCAGTCAGACTCACCGTGTCTATTCCTCTCTTGCAGCAACTGGGGATTGTGGGTAAGCACTCAGATTCTGAAGCTCCATCGATTTGTGTTTTGAGCTATCTGAATTTGTTTGAGCAAATTTTAAAATCTGAAATGGGTTCAGAAGTCATCACAGAAACTGGACCAGGTCCAGAATCAGACTGGATCTGATAATTAACTGACTTGGATTCAGTGAGAGGCCTTGGATGTTTAACTGAGTCAGGCAGAAACTGGCAGTTAATGGCAAATAAGAAGGTGTGAACTTTGGCTTTTGTAAATTCACAGAGATTTTTGTGCCCTATGTCTATGACTTTTGTTTCTTTCTTTCTCTCTCTCTTTTTTTTTTTTTGAGATGGAGCCTTGCTGTTGTCGCCTGGGATGGAGTGCAATGGAGCGATCTCGGCTCACTGCAACCTCCACCTCCTGGGATCCAGCAATTCTCCTGCCTCTGACTCCCAAGTAGCTGAGATTACAGGCACCCGCCACCATGCCCAGCTAATTTTTGTATTTTTGGTAGAGATGGGGTTTCACCATGTTGGCCAGGCTGGTCTCGAACTCCTGACCTCAGGTGATCCACCCACCAAGATCCAAGGCAAAAAATGGGATCCTTAATTTTGGAAGAACTGAGTATTCTACCTTACAGCTATGCCTAGGCAACAGTCAAGAGAGATAATAAACAGGCTATTTTACACATAAAATTACATGAGAAACAGTGTCAAATAAGAAGTGATGTTTAAACTTCGAGTTATATTTTTATAAATATTAATATATATTCCAAAATTGTATACGATTATGAAAATTCTCATATATCTCAGTATATGTTATCAGACATAATTATGGTTATGTTAAATTATTATGGGCTACATAAACAACCAAATTTCCTTGTCAATTGTGTCTTTATGACCATTTAAAGTCATTTCCACAGTTAATTGCTTAATTCTAACGCAGTTTCCTTTTTTTTTTTTTTTGAGACGGAGTCTCGCTCTGTCGCCCAGGCTGGAGTGCAGCGGCCGGATCTCAGCTCACTGCAAGCTCCATCTCCCGGGTTCACACCATTCTCCTGCCTCAGCCTCCCAAGTAGCTGGGACTACAGGTGCCCGCCACCTCGCCCGGATAGTTTTTTGTATCTTTAGTAGAGACGGGGTTTCACCGCGTTAGCCAGGATGGTCTCGATCTCCTGACCTCATGA